CTTGGGGAAAGTGCGGAACGTTGGTGAAAGGTTACATGTTAAATTCAAAGAATTAATCCATGTGTAAACACATATTCCCAAGACACAGGAGAACGGCTATGCAAACTAGCTTCGCTATGTTTTCTTCTTTAAAAAGATATCCAAAATAAAGCATTTTTAGCAAAAATAAACAAATAAAAAATAAGTAAAATTAAAAAATAAAAGATAATTATGCTTCAAAAATAGTTTCGTGAATTGGAAATAATCTTATATAAACTATTATCTGAATAAAGGAAAAATAAATCAAAACATAAAAATAAAAAATATTTAAATACGAGTAAATAAACTTATACTAAAAAAGAGCTTTAGCGCGACATAAACTATTAACAACATTAAGAATATTAAAGAAAGTAAATAAAAGTTAAACTTATTTTGCAATTTTAAATGCTAAACATTCAAAGTATTTAAAAAAAAAACTTACGAAAATCAAAATATGAAAAGTTTGCGTTTAAGAATATTAAAATCTTTTACCAAAATCTCTTTTAAGGGGACTCAAACATTTTAAAACCCATACGATGTTCGAATAGGTGACTGTTGCAAGAATTGGGGTAACTTATTTATTTTAAAAGCAATTACTACCAACTTTTTACAGCTGACTACATAATATAGCTGCTTTCTGAAATAGTAATCAGAAAGTTTGTGTACAAATATTTTCATAATTTATTCCGCTTTGTGACAACATTTTTCGTCATGTTTCCAACTTGCGCGCACAGTTTAAAACATTCTGTTTTATAATTTAATTCCATATTTAATATATAGCCTTTATAACATTTGGAAACTACTGTGAACCTAAAATTCTAAAAATTTCATGTTAAATTTTTATTTTATTTTGAGTTGAATTTATAAAATGTATTTTATTAACAAAATTTGTAATGTTTTCGTCCGTAAAATTTTCATTATTAAATATTCATAGGTTGTTGTTCAGTTAAAATAGTGCCCAATAAAGCATTCCATCCAATTTCAAGTATGTACCATTAGCCATTTTTAAAATATCATGCGCGCAAGGTGGAAAACATGTGGTGAAATATTTTGTCACAGAGAGGATAAATACAAAAATATTTGTGGCAACACAAACTTTATGGTTACTAGTTTCTAAGCAGGTATTTATGTAAACAGCTGTAAAAAGTTGGTAAAGTAATTGCTTTTAAAATAAAATCCCAATTCTTGCAACAGTCACACATTCTAAGATCATGAAAGGTTTAAGGTGTATGAGTCCCCTTAAAGTAAATTAACTCTAGTAAAATATTAAAAATATGTAGTACTTAAAAAATGAAAAAAAGTAATAATAAAACAGATTTTTCTGAATCATTTTTAGATTAGAAAATTTTAATTTGTGGTCAAATATACATCATCTAAAGTCTAAGAATGGAAGAGTTATGATGAATATATAACTCTGGGTATTTCAGGTATGACAAGTTACATTACATACTGAGTTTCATAAATTGTGTATGAAAACAGAAAATCACGTTTATAATGAAAATACCAAGAACTTGAAACTAAAAATAGCAAGATAGCAAGAGAAATAGCAAGAAATTGGAAAAATAGAAAGAACCTGGAACATATCATTCTGCTTAGAAGGATAAATTCCGGTGTTTTGCTTTATTCTAAAACGGATTTTAAACCCTATGATTATTTCATTAATTTTATGTAAGTTTAGAATCCGAGTAAGTAAAATTTAATATTTAAATACTATTTTAAGTAGTTTTCCATATGAAGAGCTAATGTTTCAATTATCATCCTATCTTTATACATTCAGAGCACACCGTACTTGATTTTAATACATATGCCATCAATACTGTAATGTTTTATTCATATATTTGTTACAGCCACTACTTCTACGTTCTTTTATTATTACTGAATTTGAATCATTCATAATAACTTAACGTATTCTACGAAAAACAAAATATTCTATTATTTACATAAACTTCGTACGATTTACATAACTGAGAATAATTCTTTTAAATTAAAGAATAATTTGCTTCTGCAGTAAATTTAAAATAAAGAAGTGAATACAGCATTGTAACTTTTACTAATCAAATGTTCCGTAACAACTTGAAAGTTTTGCGATTAACGGCAATGAACAACAGGCTAGACCAAAACAGCATTAGTCATAGAGAAATAAGGCAGCTGCCTTGAAACTGCCACTGGGTTAAGCAACATAATTCACGAGCTCATACTTTGCCACTTGACTGCATGGCGCCAGAACCTAAGATTTATATTTTTATGCACTCTATATATTTCGAAGTCAGTTTTAAATTTTCAGTGAAACTCCATTCCTTGCTAAATATTGAAATAACTTACATTTGCCTTCGAATGTCCTTTGCTTGCATATTTTTTGTGCGGAATATTCCTTATAATTTTCAAGTCTTCGTTGGCAGCGAAGTGTATCTAAATAGTACTTCTTGAAAACGCATGTCCTCAGAGTATTATATTATATACAGTATTATAACCTTATACGAAAGGTAATACACTTAAAGCAATGTGAAAAAAAATGGAAAGATTTGGCGGTAAGGCAGAAGAGGTTTTAATGGGTTAAATTTCAATTTCGATACATTTTACATATCAGTGATGCATATTCGACTTTTATCAAGAAAAACAGATTACTTTTCCGACCAGGATGTTAGCTTTAATGCTTAATGTCCCTTTTTCTGAATGAAAACAAAACTTCCAAGAAAATATTTTAATCATTTTCATCTTCCATAAAATTTATGCTTCTATCAGTAATTATGATGGTATAGCATTTTGCAGACGTTTTGAGTAGGTCTTTGCCGTTGGTATTCTCTCAGACACTTTGAACTGTTTGTGGTACCATTGCCACCAGTATATATAATGAAAATTTTGATATTTTTCTGTTACTCCAGTGTACAGCACTTCATGTGAACTCAAAAATATATTTGATAATCCATTCACTTGAGTTTTAATTTTTAAGTATTTGGAAGTATAGGAATTATTTGAAACCATTCGTATCAATGATATCAATGATTTTAACATCCATATTTGTTATTAAAGACTACATCCAATTTTTTAAAGAAAAATATTATATTTATTTTTGACTTTTCAATACTTCCATGAATTACCACTGCGCAAACGATTGCGTATAATTGCAATATTTCTTTCAACTCTGAAAAGAAAGATCAGAATATCTAGTCCACAGGCTCTCAAGCATTTTACATTTTGCATCAAGTAAATAATAGTTAAAACTATATGTCGTAACATGATATACTAATATATGTACCATAAGGAGCGCTATTTCACATTCTTTCAGCACAAAAAATTAAACATTTAATTGTTTAATTTTTTGTGCAAACATAATTCCACCAAAAATAATATAATATATCATTAGTGGTATAGGTACCATACTTTGAGAAATTCTGATCAACTAAAAGCCAAAATTTTAGTCTATCAACTAAAATTTTGATTTTTTCAGTCATTGAAAAGTAAAATGTATCATCCAAATATCCGATGCAAATATTCTTCATATTCTGCATACTTCTCAGATAGTATCTTATGTAATTCGTGAATAAATTAGAAAGAAATCTACCGCAGATAACACTTATCCAAATGTTCTGGTAATATCTACAGAAAATTAATTAAATGTTGCCGAAGAATTGTTACTTTCTTATGAGATAATCAATATGCCTTAAACTCTTCAAGGTCTTCCGAAACATTTGGCCTTTCATTTTACACAGAACCACATTTGTGTTTTTGGTTGAAACAATGGCCAAGTGCTCTCTGTAGGCTCAACAGCTCTTTTGTAGTACGCTTTTGTTGAGGAAGGTTATTTAACTAATTTAATGTTTCTGTCAGGGTTTTATGTTAAGATTTTAGATAAAGGCTTCCAATTGTCTTTCAGCCATACAGCAATTAAAGTTAATTGGATTATTTACTTAAAAACATATAATCAATCTATTGGTTTAATTTTTTTGTTTGATTATGGCAAAGCACTCAGGGCTATCTGCTTAAGGAGAGGAATGCCTTCGTCGGGGACATTCTATGGAAAATTGGCTCGTAAATATGTTGTACACCCTTGCAGCCAGCCCATTTGGTCGTACCCAACCCCGGGACCAACTACCAGTGTTCAGCGATTTTATCACTAGGCCGCTGGTGGGCCCGGCCTAAGAGAAAGGACGTTTTCGTAGAGAAACTGGCTCGCGTTCATGTTATATATATATATTTTAAATTAATAACGTTTCATAAAATGAGTTTTTCTAACATTAATTATGGTGTTTATTTCACTTTTAAAAATGGATTTAAAAAAGAACACAGAATACATACAGAAAATGGATATTTCTTTTAGGAGTTAGTTGATATATGCAAATAAAATTTATTCTATACAATGTTTAATTTAAATAATGTGTCTATATTTTTACCTGTAAATAGGCAGATTATTTGCTAAGAAATTACCTAGCATTGCCAGTATACAGGTCTGTACATTCATACTAATATAATATCATACTAAATGTTCAAAGCGACGTATCTCAGTCAATAATGATAAAAATTATAACTATTTCTTTTCTGTTTAGAAATATTCCATAGTTCTGAATAAATGATAAGGTTTTAAACCTGCAGTATGAAACCAACCAAATAAAAACACTAATGAATTGAGAAGAATGAAAATAAAATAAATAACTATTAAAAATTAATTATTTTATCTTACAATATGCACTTAAAGTTATTTAACGAAACATACTTCATTTTAACCAGTTGTTAAGTTCCGTTAATTTTATAATATAGGTTTAAGATATTAATGCTTATTGAACAGCATTGTAACTTAATGCTATTTCATTCAAAATGCATTATTTTCACATTTCATTCTGTATGCTTTAGAAATACATTACATTAAAATAATTATTTTATTAAGCACTTTAACAACAGTTACTGAAATTCAGTTACAGTTAGAGTTTTGTTCACTCATTGCTTTCCTATTAATATTTTATTTTATGCTAGCATTATTTTCTTACCAGCAGGAATAATCCGGAAAGAGCACGGATCCTTTTGTTGGCCAATAATATTGGAAGCCCAGCACTGTAGAACGCCATAATCCTGAGGCACTCTTGGTGACACAGTTGCCACACTTTTTGTTCCGTTGCTGGCATACTGAGTAGGAGGTAATGGGGACTTGCTGTCAGAATTACTAAGGACCCATGAAAAGTTGACAGTCGTCGGATAAGCGTCAACTGCACATGCCACGCTAACTGATTCTGTCCTACCAACGCCGTATACGCTGCTCCTAACCGATTCACATCTTGGAGCATCTGAAAATATTCAAATGAATTAATTAATTTCAAACCTGTGTTCGAAACGGATTCTAGACAAATTCTGAGTAAACTACAAGGAAGTTGATTAAAAGTAAATGTGAAAACGTATGAACCATGCATAATAAACAAAATAGGTTTATGTAGACATAGAAAACTTGTAAATCTTTGACTAAATTGTCAACAAATATTACATATTTACTCGTATCTACGAAATCGAGCAAACAAGATTCTGAAAGTTTTTCAGGTAGAATTCAATAAGATTTAGATTGTTCCAGCGGACTCACATACATATATCTGCATAATTGCTATACATATCTTCAGTTTAAACATTTCTTTCAGTCAAAGATATCTTTCAATCTTCAGAGATTCAAATAGTTTTTACAGTTTTGAGCTTTCATATTTATCAATTAACGTCATCGTAATTTCCAGTCTGCAACAGCGAGACCACATTTAAGATATGATATAATGGAAATTTGAGTAATCAAAAGTTTTTAGAAATTTAATTCTTTGAGATTTGAATGACTAGAAATACATATTTGAGAAATTCAGACTTTCAGTTGCATGTAGAACTAATTTTTTAAGAGAACAAAATTCAGACGCTTCATGGTCATATTTCGGTTGATATGTATGTATATATAATATAAAGATCAGAAATTTTGGAATAACGTATGACATTAGAAACAAATTTTAATAACATTCATGATGTAAATGTTTATAAAAATCATATATTATATTCAGTTATAAATTATATGAATAACATATTTCATATATTATACTAGTTATACATATTATTAGAAAAAATTAAAGATATACATTTTCAAATATTTAATTTTTCAATCGCTCAGATAAGTCAACAACAGGTAAGTTTAATTTAAATGCATTCTTTAAATGCAATGTAGTCATGATTACATTTAAATATATTCTTTAATACGCAATGCAGATATCATCGTCAGAAAGAAAAGCTGAGAATCTTTTGCCGTGTCGTGTGGAAATACTTCGGTGAAACGACAATAGGCTACATCGCACGGATAATAAATTCCCTGTGATGACACTTTTTCAGAATGAATAATGATTAAGCTAAGGGGCAATGTATTCCAAGGGGTCCCCAAATCACTTTCTCATTCATACAGAAGCAGTGGAAAAAAGCAAAAATAATCAAAACTAGTGTCTTAATGTGAAGGGCTCCATAGAGTTTAGGTAAGATCTCCCCCGCCCACACTTTTCATATATCCAGCTTAGACTGTAAATATTATCTCATTTCCCTTTTATGTGCTCTTATTATGTAAAGGGTCATCGGACTATCATTGGAGGATTATGTGGTTTAAATCCTACTGACAGAACAGTTAATTTATTCAGTTTCCCTTTCCCAAAATGATTACTGGCTATAATTTCATCAATTTAAGACTCAGTAGACAATAACTCATCGCAAGTTGGATTTCTTCAACTGGGACTTAGGCATCTGCTAGTTTACATTTTAAATGGAGTAGCTTATATGTATCAAATTATGTCATGCATATTCGTGTGATAAAAGTGTTTTAAGTTGTGATAAAAGTTAGTATACCTGAAAGCATTTCAAAGATCCGTATTTCGACAACCCAGTGAGAGCACCGTTGATATATTACAAATAGCTCTCTGCAAACTAAATGCAGTTTAAGCCATTGAAATATGTTTATTAAATAAAGAAAATTTAATAATCATAATAAAGTATTTATTTCTAAAGGCATTACGTGCTTGTAGAAAACTCCCTTTTATAAGCGACAAACGTAAGATTTGAGTAGACATTTTATTTGAATTTTGAGTACTGATTATATGTGTAAAAAATAGCTCATCGAAGTAATTTAAAGGACCAAATGTAAAACCTATCTAACTGATCGACGTTAAAACAAGTATCCTTATATGTCTCTCCACATGTCCAGGGGAAAGCATTCGTTTAAGTTGTAATCGAAACCCTTACAGCACTCTTTCCTAATTTGATTCCTGCAGACACGAGTTGTTTTTGTATCTACGTTTGACGACCAAAAGACGGATTATTCAACATCGGTTATTAAAACTGAAGATAAAATTAGAAAACTTCCTCCTTATAATGCTAAAATAGAAATGAGTTAAAGATCCAAACAAATAGAGAATCACAGCATTTCAGGGAATAAATTATGAATTCTATTTCATTGTTAGCCCCAAAGAGACGTTATTCTCGAATCGGATATCAGCTTCGAAATGGCATTTTGCACTGAATCACTATAAACTGCGTATCACTTTTCAAATTGTTGCCACCAAATATTATCGCCTTGCATTTAAAGAAATTAAATAATGTAGAATCTGCAGTAATAGTGAATGTTTCTCGCATTGTGAAAAAGCAACTGTACCTAGAGCCATCAGATTCATCAATAACGTCATCCTTTACTCAAATATGGACACCTGGAAGCCCGAATTTTAAATTTCGAATTCGTTTTATTATCTATTTCATAGTTTGTAAAATTTAACGAATTTTTAATGAACAAACTCAACGATTTCAAACAGATCAGTGGCAGCACTGTATGGAAATAATAATTTTTATCTGCAGCCCGCGAAGGTGTCTGACGGAAATTTTAAAGATATGCTTCTTTTAAATATTTTATGATTTTGCTGTTGAATCGAAATTTATGTCTCTTAAGCGTCATGAACGGGATATTTAATAAATAAAGTAAAAACGCAAAATGTTAATAATAAAAGGATTAATAAAAATTTATAAATGCATCTTATTAAGAAAACTGAACATCGATAGGATGAACTGAGAGAAGACCGAAAAAGCAGAAAATTCGTGCCACTGCGTCTGGAATTCTAAATGTATACTGCTATGCCGCTTTTAAAATGTTTATCATTTTGCTATTGATTTGTATATAGCGTAGTGAGAAGAAAATGATACTTAATAATAAAGCTAAAAAGACAAAGAAAATAGGTTAGTAAGAGTGAGTGTAACAGCAGACTGGTAGACTGCGAGCTCAGCCAGAGCGTAAAAAAAAAAAAACGTTAGAAAACCCTTCTGGGAGACGGTTAAAATCTTAAAACTTTAATTTTCCGATTTTTTTAATAAATTTCTTAAAAGCATTATTGTCTCAAAAATAAATTGAAGGATCCTTTGTATATTTTAATCCGAATTAGAAGCAATGTCTATGTTAATCGCATACTGCATTTAGCTAAATGATTTTCTATATGCTTTCCTAACAGCTTTCAAATCATCCATTAATTATATTTCAATCTATGTCAGATGCAGTCAACTTTATTGCCTAAGCCATCCATATGAAAACAGTATTAGATTTCAACCTAGATTTTAAACTCCCTCTTTAAAATTAAGGCATGCATCATTTAATAACTTACAATCAATTCTCCAATAAATCAATGATTTGGGGACAGTGGTTGAAATCCTTATTAATTTATCCACAAATGTCATTCTTCTCTTTAAGAAGCTCGCTAGACTAAACACTGTCATTCTTGATATAACTAAAGGTTTTAAATTTCTGTTAAAGAGAATTGTAAAAGTATATGTTTTTCCAAGAAGTGCCTCAAGAAGGCCAAACATGAAGAAATTTTCTAATAATATTAGTGTTAAACGAGATAAATTCAAAATTTCGATAATCATTTTTATTTAAACTTTAGATACAATCCAGGAAATAATGACCAGATAAGATTAAAGTATTTAGAACCATTCTCTGATGCTATTTTTAATACAAGTTTCGATGTTCTGTAATATGAATATTCAACTTAAAATAATTCATTTTTTTTACATTTTTTAACTTTAATATAATATTCATACTGATACTGTCAAGAAAACAATTCATATATGCATTAATTCATAATATAACGGATTTAATATGCACATAAAACAGATTCAACTCGTACATAAAACAGATTTAACATGTGCCTAAAACAGATTTAACATATACAAAAAAATTATGTTAACGCTAGGCAGCATATGCTTGGCAGAGCAAAACGTATTATTTTACTTTCAAACGCCCTTAGATGTCTTCTTTACATAGCGCAGGAAAAATGAGTACTTTTCACATGCACATGAAAGTTTAGTTACGTGAAATAACGCTTTGCCTAAAAATGAAGTATTTTAATAATAATTATTAATAACCGAAAAAAATATTATTTGTTGAAAGTTCTATCTTTAAGTAATAAAATAATATGAAACATTTTTCTTGCAATATTAAAATCACATTTCGGTTTGGAAGTATGGTTACAATATTAGAATTCTATCCATAAGGATCAAAATAAAAATTCGCAAGTGTGCTTAAAATATCTTAAAATGATCTTTTAGTTTAAAATTTAATAATAATAGTAAAATTTTTCATTCGAAAGCTTCGTTAATTATGAAATGCAGGAAAGAAAAGCAAAAGATTTCATTACTGATCTTCCTAAACTAGGTTATAACTTCTTCTAAACTAAGTTACAAATCAAATATTAACTATTCTTTACGTAGTAATATTAACAAGCATATAAAACATAAAAAATATTTGTATTTTCTTAAAGCTAATCTTTCTAGTTCATCATTTCAACCTCATTTCACTAAAATAAAGCAAAACGTCAGAATCAGGAGTTGTTTTATAATTTACACTGGCATATTTCACAATTTGCAGTATACCTTCAATAGTTTAGAAAGTTTGGAAATACCAGTTTTTTCAATTTCAGTTCCTCAGATTACTATTTCTTCTTTGCCATCTGGTGCTGAGTCAGTGCACTTTAGCATATACTTTTAAACTTTCTGAAAACCAGTAAATCGAAAACTTTTGTTGCATTGAGAACTTCAACCCATACTGATAATTTCTTTATGAAGTTTGCACTGTAATAGAATTTCACCTGCCCGCCTACGTAGCCATTTTGGTTTCGGATCTACTTCATGTACATATATATATATATATGTAATAATAAAAACACAAGGAAAAGACGGAACACTGTAGATGCGTGATTAGACCCATATTGAAGAAGAATTTTGATTGCGTAGTATTTAAAAAACTTGG